TCCCGGCGAACTATTCAAGAGTCATCACCCGCATTTTTTCAGTCACGCCAGATGTGGCCAGCCTGCTGGTCATGCAGGTATATAAAAAAAAATGGCAAAGTGCCCCATTAAGAGTATGCGCGTTTCCACAAGGTCAGTCATTCTGCAAAAAAGGGAACTTGGGTTTTAAGACCTGCATATAACTCGCATGAAAGTTGTTTGCAGTCGTACCATGCCGAGGGTGAAGTAGTTCTGCGTCATTTGACTTGTGGTGGGAAATTTAACGCGCCAAGATTGAGAAAGGTCGCAGTACCTTTCTCAGCACTTACTACCTTGCACATCTTTGCGGTCTTATTTCAGTTGTGAAGGTAGTAGGTTACTTGGCCACACATGCGCATTTTCCGTATCTTCAATCTACGGAATAGAGGGGGGATGTTACTCAAATGGGTGTAGCGTCTGCTTTGCGCCGCGCGCTGAGTCGCGGCTGGGCCCTTCGAGAGCACGATGGTTCCCATGTTAATTAGGCTTTGGAACGCATATTCTCACCTCAAAGTTGACGGTGACATCACCCAAGACTCACAAAGTAGACGACATCCAAAATCACCTTTCATCAAATACCGTCGTATCGCTCAAAATGCAACTTCCTATGACGGGCTGATTCAAAACCGAGCAATTCCTTTCCATTACCTTCTCTCGTTTCGGAGTTGCATGGATGTCAAATCCGATGCGGTGCCTTGCATCCCATAATTAGTAGCCTGGCAGTGAGCGAGGCTGATGTCGTCGGCCCCCACGAACTTGGCGCTGGACATCGGTGTGGCACATCGGTTCCCACGCAAAGTACGTTGAAAGAAGTTGCTACCCCTAAAATGACGGTGAAAACATCCCATGCAAGCTCAGAAGTCGTGGAATACCTACGGTTGAAACGTTTTTGGGGTGACAGCATATCCTCCCCAGCCTAACTTGCATGATAATAGGCATGTTATGTGTTCAAGTACCGTTCATCCTAACATCGGAGAAGTCGCAGGGACCGACAAGATTAGGCCCGTTGACTGCCATATCTCTATCGGACATAAATCTTCCTAGTCATGCCGTGCTTAACCCTTCATTCCGCACCGTTCTTTCCCCGGGTAAGTCTCTTTTTTACGCTGTAATAATTAAGCAAGATTTTGATCCTAAGCAATGTCTGAGCGAGAGGCAAATACTACCTGCCAGTGCTTTTATCATAACAGTCCACCCCTGCTATAGTAATACTGTTGTACAACGCTGGGATGCCTATAAAACAAAATGCGTAAAAGCAAAATCCAAGAATACACTTTGGTCTAACAAAAAGCCGATAAACGTGATCCGGAAGTATTTTTGTTCACCCGCCATGCAGGTATTTGTCATTTCATGCCTGTCATGTGTCTCATGGAGCGGCGTTCCCAAGCGTAAAATGACGAATAGGAACATAATGATAAAAAGAACGCTCGTTCAACAAACTTCACCTGCTATTTTGGTAGGCCTGATGAAGAACGGTGGGTCTCGCCTTTGTTCATATCAGTGTTTATGCAAATCCGATATATTACCTTATCAGAACCAAGTCCAATAACGCTAGCGGGAAAAGGGCTACAGCATACTTTACAGTAAAAAATGAATGTGACACTGAGTGATGTGTTCATGTACCAGCGCTAACAGTGCAGACATTTTTCTTTTATTTCCATGGCACGAGGATTCTTTATGCTGCCGCTTGTCTTGGTGTGGGCGGGGAGGGGAGAGGCAAGCTCAGAGGACCATTGTGGGTGGAGGGACGCAGCTCAGGTTTGAGGGCCCAGGCCCCCTCAAAGGAAATGAAGTGACGCCCTCAGGCCGTCGTCACAGAAGCACAGTTTCACAAAGTCTGTGCCTGCGGGAAGGCGAATAGAGAAAAATGGCTAAACCTGCCCGCACCAAAAATATGCATTTCTCCGTGACTTTTGTCCACTTTCTTCCCAAAATTGGGGAAGAAGCTGGAGCCCTCACCAGCAGATTCGGAAACTACACCGCCGCGTCATTGATGGTATATTCATTCCGTCGCTAGGTCCTCCCCTGGAATGGACACGCGCCCTGGTGACCGGTTGGATACCCTTCGCTCGGGTAGGGGGACCAATTTAACCACCTGAGATCTCAGGACCTAAGATAGCTAGGGGCCAAAATCCCCAGGGTGTATTGGTGTGTACATGAACTCACTTAGGTCAAATTTTGAGGTTCCCTTGGTCATAAACTTCGGCTCAAATAAGATCAAGCAGGGTAAGTCCCTTTTTTACGCTGCAATAATTAAGCAAGATTTTGACCTAAGCAATGTCTGAGCGAGAGGCAAATACTACCTGCCAGTGCTTTTATCATATCAGTCCACCCCTGTTATAGGGGTGGACTGAAGGCAAACCCCAGGCTGGTCTCATAAGTATCCCCAGAACTTAGATGCCTGTTAAAAGGAAAGGGTCACACGGTCATTGAATGTCAATGACTTTGTTCAACCTTTTGAAGGTCGTGGTGACCAAAATCAAGCAAGACTGTTTTGAGTTTTGCATTTGAATAAGCAACAAAGGTCACGATAGCTAGCATGTTTCTAAAAAAAACAAAATATTGACCTGGGTTATTTTTGGTCAGTCACCTTTTCTGGTGTTTAAGAAGTCCAGCTAAGATGTATAATGCTGTTCCTGAAATCAGTCAATTCGAAATGAGCACCAGATACTACCCCATAGGTAAGTGGAACCTGGCCTGGCCCCAGGTCAATAGAATTTGTTCATTCTGTTTTTGTGCTGCCAAAAAAGTATCTCATGGATGCATGGCTTCGTCTAACGCTCCGTTGTTGCATCAAGTGAAGGATTCCGTAGAAATTGGCGTCGCTGAATCCATGGCCTGACTTTGACCTGCTGTAGGTCAGCGACCTTACAAGGTACGTCTAAATTCTGAAGTCGGACGATCCACTACTCAATAGTCTACTGTTATGCAAAATTTGGCGTGACTTCGCGGCGCCGTTCAGAAACAATTCCGGAAAAACCCTGGGTCAATCTGACCCCCGCACGAGCGCGTGTTAACCATCCGTTTCTTAGCGGGGAGTTTTCTCTTCCGTATGACAGCTTGCCGATACCAATTATCATTCAGTTGTCCTCTCAAGAGATATTAGGTTACCCACCCGGTCAAGCTGCAGCGTGGACCCAATTCCCTGTGAGAATGTTCCATATTTGGGGATACTGATGCAAACATCAGATATGATGAAATTAGCTCACTTACAAGGGATAACTGTTTGATACGTTTAACTGAAAAGACTGTTCTGGCCAACACAATTTTGTATTCAGTAAATATGCTCATCAACGCGTCGTTCGTTCTGGAACATTTGTATGACGTTAAGGTGCTGCCAAACTGGTCGTGCAATATTGCCACCTTAGCACTCACTTGCAGTACTTCAATCTTCCGAGAAGTGGCCGCGGCGGTGCTGGAAGTGTTTGCGGTACCAAATATCGGAGAGAGGCAGTGCGTCATGTAACGCTTGTTCTCCGGACACATATCTGAAGCAATACGAGGTAATGACCTATGAACCAGATAGCCAGTATGTCACACCTTCCAGCTCTCAGTCAGCCTGAACCCTGGACCTACCCGACGTGCTCTACTTAATAAGCCTGCAGTAAAAAACTGCGTACGCCGCTTGTTCGAGCTTGTCTCCGAAAACGACGTCTTCTGGCAGACAACACAAAGTACTTGTGAAAACTGTGCATTTATGGTAAAGCGTGAACCGTACGGCAGCGAAAACGACGAAGAAAAATGGAGGCCCCTTAGCAAACACCAGCAAGTGGAGCGAACCCTCGACGTATAAAGGATGTGTAGCCAATTCGGGCAGAACCACCAAACGTATCGACGATGTCTTCTGCCTGTCAGCCCGCCTTATATCGGCGCCGTCTCCGATGTAGTTACGGCGCATGCGCACACCGTACGGGTCCGCAGCGCGCAGACGCAGTGCAGAGATGCGTGGTGGCGCGCGGTCCCCTCACGCTTGTCGTGGCGGCTTTCGAGAGACTCATTAATAGTGGAATCCGTTGCGTCAAGTTCTAAATACTACGTTAGCATGCACTCGCATGCGGCCAGCCAGCTGGTCATAAATATCGCACAACCACAGACATTGCGCTTGCGGATGGTTCGCTTTGACATTACTGCACGTGGGATTCCCTGTCGACCTGCCCGCCGTAAACATGCGTCAGTCTAAGGGAGCGGGCTGAGTCATTTATCGCCGCACAGCCCCCCCCCCCCCCCTTCCTCTATTCTGCGCTCTCGATCACTGGACCGTCTGGCCCAACACCAACGAGCTTGCTTTAATATTATTGTAAGATTAAATGCATGGGCAATGTTGGACTGGAAGAGCAGGATGTACACGGAAGCAAATCATGTTGGTCTGCACACCAAACTCGGCTTGTCATTACAAATTTTAATGCAACAAAAGGGCAAGAGCTTAAAAAATGTGTTTGCTGATTAAGGTCTGTACGACGCGGAACAGGCAAGACGGTTATGCAAACCCCGGGATGGTAGGTATCTGACACAAATATTAGGCCGACAGTGATGAACAATAAACGGCGTAAAATATATACGTTGCGTGCATAGCCAGTGCACGTTTGTCATATCTCCCAGGTACCAGAAATGGATTAATTGACACATTTAGTGGCATTCTTAGAATATCGAGGATGCCATTCTGTAAATATGTTAGCTTAGGCTGCAATACTTAATCAGTGATTAACCAGTACTTAACCAGTCTTAAGAAGAACTCGTTGTAGCTGTATGGCTGCCACAATGATTCTTTGAAATTGAAGAGTAAGATCATTAAACCGGTACCCATTTCAGAGCAATCTATATTGGTAAAAGTACTGTCGCCCAGCCGCCCAGCCCAGCCAGTCCAGCCTGAGCATATGACCATGAATCAGACCACAGCCTGTCACCGTACGCCCACCGTTGCCAGTGACGGACGGGTTGGGGGTCAACAGGTCACGGGGATGACGCATCGAAGTGTATGCCGCGAGGCGTCAACGAGGGTTAACAGTCAAAGTTTTGCGTGTTGTCGGACGGTGAACAGTGTCGCTTCGGGTGAGTAGGGTTGCGTCAGACGCTTCTAAATACTAGCTTTGTTAGGCGATTTAAAAAATGAAAATTGTTTTGGTGTCGGTTTTGATAGCATGCCGCGTTTGGAAGCGGTCTCAAAAGCGGACGAAAATTAAGAAAAAGCTAATGTGGCTGACGCGATGTGATGAAGTGGTAATTCCTAGGTTGGGGATTAACATTCCAGATATCGTATCCCGCTTTTTCCGACCGAACAGTCACCGGTCACCTGCAAACTAATTGGCCAACAGTGGACAAAAATGTCTCGCGACCTCGTTTTGCAAAATCGCCAGATGCAAATCACCGTTGTCAAAAATTGATACAATGCATTTTGAGGTCAGCCTCGCACTTATTGTTTATCGATAATTCGTTTAACAAGAAACAGCTTAATGTGGCCGTTCAATATTTCCTTTTAACGGAAAACAGGAATTATCCAATGCCGTTCACAGCTACACCTTTTTAAGACTTAAAACCCTCCTGTTTTCGGGCTTGATGCCCGCGAACTTATCCCGAATTTTCGTGGCCACTCAGAGCTCCATAACGCAAGAATACGGCTTTCTCATTGCCATGTAGTGATCAAGATTGAGGAAGACATGCTCATCGAATTATTAGTGTCTCGCGTACGTCACAACGATTACTGACATCAACGGATATATAAGATGTAAGTTGGTCCTCGGCCAATTTAATGCGTTGAGTGCAAGTTTGGGACAAGAGCTACGTTTTGCGCTACATAATGCAGGAATTTGGACACGGGTAGAAAATATGACGAAACTAAGGCTGGGAAATGAAAAACCTAAAGTGAGTGTCTCACCGCTGGGACGTATTTCAAAAATATACTCTACTGAAACCTCGGCACCAGCTACGTATAATGATAACAGCGGATAGTGTCAGTGCAGCACTATGAAATGGAATGTTTGACATTTGGGGATGTTGAAATAATCATCATTTATGGTGAAATAAGCTCATTTATAACTATTGGTATAGTTTTTAAGTAGAAAAGACTGCACTAAAAAAATAATTTCTCTGTTTAGTAAAAATGTTCCTTGATTCATCATTGTTTGAATGAGTCTTCGTACCCCACACAACATTGATTTCGAGCCAATTGACGACAGTTGTATCTGGAAATCAGGCTCACGAACGTCAGATATGAACGATTCGACCATAATATTTTCATTGGCCTTGGTCGCTGCATGGCTTATAAAATGGCAGGATCTGAATGACGTTATAATGACGTTATGAACGCCAAGTTGACCTGGAAATACTCCCCCGAAATGCTCTCTCAATTTTCGCGGGCGTGTGGCTCAGAAACTAAAACGATGTAGGTCTTAAGAATGACAGAGCTATGAACTGCACCGAATGTTTGTAAAGATGACTATTTCAGCCTAAAATTGCGCACAGATATGGAACGATCCCTTTGTGACATAAATAAGTAATAGGTTTTAAATACTTTCGAGTTCAATCAACAATGTCAACGCTTTGTAATAGCGCTACGCTGCATCCCTACAGTCACGAAAGATGTCGTCATGACAACGGCAGAATCTGCTGGGAGCAGCTCTCAGCTGTCACTGAATGACGTCATTGGTACAGAGGACGGCAAGGGCCATTCGCCGAGAATGGCCCTTGTTTAATTGGTTGAATGGTTGGAGTTTAAAGCAGTGCCTCACGATAGACCATATGATGCTTCATTTCCCAAAGCTTCAAAAAAACTATTGTAGGTAAACACCATGGGGACAAAATGAAAACCATAGTATCAGGCTGTCGTCATCTCAATGCCTCTACACGCGTTTTCGCGATTAAGCCGATTGACGTCACCGGGGGCACACTTTCATGGTCTTTTAAAACTTCCCTTTCAATGAAAGTGAAGCAATCCATGGTCTTATGGACATTCTGTGAGCAGAAAGCAGAAATTCCGTGGTATTCCGAAGGAGTTTTCAGAAAAAAACTGGTATTAATGTTCACATGGTTCGTATTTGATTGAACAAGAACTGAAAAATAAAGGTGTCACACGTCTTTTCACACGCGCCTGGGTGGCCGCCTAGATACCCTTCGCTCGGCTGGCTGGGGTGTCAGTCGGACCCCGCCCCAGAGATCCCAGGAACGAAGAAAGTTACAGACACCAAAATCGTAGGGTGTCTTGACCTGTACATGAACTCACTTAGACCAAAGTTTGAGCTTGCTAGGTCATTACTTCAGGTCATATAAGGTCAAAGAAGGTCAAATTCCAGGTTGGTCACCAAAGCGCCCCCGGAACCTAGAAAACTGTTTCTAAGCAGAGTGTCAAAAACCCATTTGATGTCAATGACCTTGTTTGACCTCTGGAAGGTCATGGTGACCAAAATCATACCAGACTGCTCTGAGTTTTGGATTTGAATAACCGACAAAGATTACGCTATGCAGTATGTTCATAACACAAAATGTCGACTCGGGTCATCCTAGGTCGATGACCTTTTCTGACTTCTAGGAAATCAATGGAAAATGTATCATGCGGTTCCTGCTGTCAATAAATTCGACATGAGCACCACAAACTAGCCCCTTCCACAAGCCCTGGAGTAATTCATCAGGATGGTTGTGACCTTGGTCTGACCTCCCTATCTGACCTTAGGACAACGTGATTTGCTCATTCAATAATGGTAGTACCTACGAAAGCATCTCAGAGATGTACGGCTTCGTCAAGCACTCCGTTATTTTATCGGATTGGACGATTCCCTAGAAATTGTCTTCGCTAAAACCATGGCGTGACTTTGACCTGCCATAGGTCAGTGACCGTACAAGGTACAGCGCAGTTTCTCATGTCAAACGATCTGCTCTTCAATAGTCTACACCTATGCAACATTTGGCGCAGCTGTGCCGGGCAGTTCGGAAACTGTTTTCAAAAAACCTTCAGGGGGGTCAATTTAAACCCCCGACCCCAGCGCGTGTTAAAAAAGGTTTAAGTTCATTGTAATGAGAGTCCGTTGTTTTGCATTGCATTTTGAACTAAGATGTCTATTATGAAGATCATTCCGTGCCGTTCTGAGCCAGGTCCTTGTTGAGAAACCCTCTGGTTTGTAATCTTCACGCCTACGAGTATGTGCAGACTACTTCGCGCAAACTTCTCCGTGCACACTGTTTCAAGGCCGCACATGCATACGTCATGGGAACACGACCCAAATACTACCACCTCAGCATTTCGCCGTGTGATTCCAAATACTGGGGTGTACTTATTGTACACTTCAGTAGGTGTGCCAAGTATACTCATTGGTTATGTGGTGCCCAAGGTCAGAAAAATTTGATCATTAGGGTGTTCGTGTCTTGTGCATATCAGCACGATTTCTAGTCTTCAACCAATAAAATGTGTTCAGTGCAGGTGTCGAGCATCAGCTACATTTTGTGCCATATAATGTCGAAAGTTCTGCAATGGTGCAAATTATTACAGATGCAAGACTGGGATCAAATAACTTAAGAATAGCTGCATAACCGAGCATGTGAATGTAAGCAAACAGTGTAATGCCACGGGCGTATGTGCAATAACACTGCGAAACATTTTCAGACATTCAGTCAGACATTTTAAATCATTATACTGCAAAAGCTAGATAACAATCACGCATTCTTTCTGCGGCGAAATAGAAAGTCCCGCGGGAGGCGCGTTCTTTCCGCACTGATGTGACGTAAGCCCGCAACTTAGACTACCGAATTATGTGTTTCAACAGGCATACACAATAACGGTAATGTAACTGAGAAATGATGCGTTAAAGTGGATTTGATCAAACACGATCTAAACGCAGGTCCCAACATAGTTTAATCCAAAATGCAAAACCAAATTTGCGTTATAATTTAAAACTATAAAATTTAAAGTGATATATAGCTCTTGTGCCATACCAGTCTTTTACAACATGCACAGCGCCGAAGATGAACATTGCCAACTTAGAAACTGTACGAGCTATATCTGAAAATCTGAAAGTAAGACCGAGCTCAAAGTATCACCATTTTTCCTTTTAGATGAGATTAGGTCAAAATTCGAGAGATAGAGTGTTACTAGCCTGTCGACTTAGGGTGAAAAGCCACGCCACTGATCCATGTTTCAGTGCGTTAGCGCCATCCATCCAAGTTTCACTGCGTTACGTCTCGCATCCCACAGATCCTGGCTTCATCGTCTCGTCACTGCTGAAAACGAACCAAACCGGACGTCAACTCAATCTTACGTAACAGAGTTCGCTCTTCTTCCACTCAACACTACACGGACATCATGAGACGCAATGAAGGTGAGAGCTGGTTGACGACGATCGAGCGGAGCTCGAGTGTCAGTAAGGCGCCAATGAGTATTTCTAGATCTTCCATAAATACGAAACCACCATAAGCCATAAACTCCTCTCATAAAGGCTAACATAAGTTGGGTCTGTTTGAGCTGGTTTGTTTCTATCACTTGGACCGTTAAAGTCGTGCGTGTATGGAATGAATATGTGGTCACGAATTACTGCTCATATTGACCTTAGCGGATGTTCCTCGCAATGAACAACTTACTGTTCAATTCCAGTAACTGAAACGAAACCTGAAATATTGTAGGCCATACACTTTGTCCTTGTTTATAACACCGTTTAAGAAACCTGACGTGATTATATACCCCTACTGCTGTCTTGCATTCTATGATCCCACATAAGACCGGCGTTTTGGACAATTGTTGCAGCGTAGGCTAAAAATTCTTAAGAAAGGAAACGGACTAAACAAATATAGAGGGAACGCCTCCACCTTCTACGCATCTGTCATAAAAAAATATTTTGCGCACGCCCAACCTATTTGAAAACCAAGTGAGAATGGTCTTTCTCATTGCTGCATTTCACTTACGAGTTTAAATGCTGTTGAAATTTGTGTTGACACAGGTTGCTATGCGGAGCATTTGAGCAAGTGAGGAGTGGAAAGAATTTAACTTTGAAGCTTAAAATAGACAGGCCGTCGCATACAGAAAACTTAAAATTTGAGTCGATCTACATGAAGGAGATTGCATTGATGCAGAGCTCTTGTACTCAGGATCTTTGCGTTATTGATCGGCAACAAATCAGACGAGAGGTGATGTTACACGCAACACGCTGGAGCGTCATGCACTGGTAGTAGTGCCAATCTTCGCGAATTTACCGAGATCCCACAAAAAACGAGACTTGTGTGGGTTTCTATGACACCCGAGATGACCCGTCTTTTTAGGCGCGTGGCTGGCGCCACTCCTGCTGCTAGGCACGCTGGGAGGCGCCTCTGTCCCCACTGGGCTGGACATTAAGCTGCTGAAGGAGGTGACGTCGGGTACGGTGGCCAACCACGTGATCTCACCGTTCCTGATGTCGCTGCTGATGTCGCAGGTCTGGCTGGGCGCCAGAGGTGCCACTAGAGCCGAGGTGAGGCCCCAGTTGGCTGATCTTCATTAAGGCCTACCATCTACACTGGTTTCGGGCACATGTGCCAGTCCGGAACCAGTGCATATGCCACCAGACCCGGTCTCATGCGTCAACTTATCGCAGGACATACAGCGTGACTCACCGCACTGTGATCTTTATTGATTAAATGCGGAGGGGAGATATGACAACGTTTGTCTGTGTGCTGCACACAGATGACGCCTGTGCTGGGAATGTCCGGCCCAAAAGACACATCGTTCCTCCACGGCTACCGCTCGGCCTTGGCGGTCCTGTCTGGAGCCAGCAATGGCGTCACGACGTCAGTGTACAACAGGATCTATCGCAAGCACAGCTTCAGTGTGCGCCGCACCTTCAGCGACCTTTTAGCGCGCTACTACGGAGCCGGAGTGGAGGTGCTACCAAGAGACGCCGGGAAGGCCGCTGAGGTCATCAACAACCAGGCGTCGGTGGCAACGCGCGGACACATCAAGGACCTGGTGACAGGTGGCGACCTCAGCAACGCTGTACTGGTGCTCTTCAGCGCCGTGTATTTCAAGGGCACCTGGCTTTATCGCTTTGAGAAGGGCGGACAGAAAACGTTTTTGACACCGCGCGGCGATCGGCCGACAAACATGATGAAGATGAAGGCGGGGCTTGGTTACACCAGCCGACCACACTTCGATGTCGTGTCGTTGCCGTACCAAAACAAAGATTACAGTTTGCTAGTGCTGCGCCCGCACAGTCGCTCGCTGGCTGCCGTTGCCAGGCTGCAGAAGTCTCTGGACGGCTTGGACGTGTCCCGGTTATACAGCCAAATGAGTCAGCGGTTAGTCCGTGTACTGATGCCGCCCTTCAAGATCGAGGGCCGCTATGAGCTGCCCACCCACATGCAAAACCTAGGCATCCGGAGAATTTTCCAAAGGCAGGCGGATTTCGGCGGCATTACGTCGCGAAACATCTTTGTCAGCAACATCATCCACAAGGCGGTAATGGAGGTGAACGAGAATGGTACAACGGCTGCGGCGGCGGGAGTGGTCGTTGTCAGATATTCGCGTCCCATTATCGTGAACTTCATTGCAGACAGACCATTTTTCGTATTCCTCTTCCACAAGCGTGAAAAAATCACCTTGTTTGCTGGATTGGTGGCTTATACTTGAGGGGCTATCATGCTCGTTGGGTTCGCTCTTGTACCGTATCTATCCGTTATTTTGTTTTATTTTTAACCTCCAGCAGTCTCTGGTTCTTGTTTCCGTTCGAATCGCATATTTCCATAGGTGCGGGTTTTGATGCTGGTGTTAGTGGACGCACGGAAAACGCATTGACGTAAGCTGAGCTGCTAATAAATGAAGTCTATTGAGCGGGTTATTTGTGTACCAGAATGTCGGCTCCATGAGGACTGAAAGTTTCTCGTTGATGCATGATTTCGGACTTGTCCAAGAAGTACTTTACTCCATTGTTTAACGTGTATTCTGCTCTTTCGAAATAGTCTCCTTCCGGGTGCACTGAATGCGCGTCATTATGCCCCTTTTCGGCAGAAAATGCTCTACCTGTCATTGAGATAACAATTTCTTATTATGTAATGAGACGCCAAGTATGCCACCCGAAGCTTCTCTGTATTTTAGCAGCTCCTCACGCTCCACAGCATCTCCCCGAAGTGCCTTTACCCTCCCTTGTCTGCGTACGGCGACTGCCGACCGCCGGGGGCCGCGAGCGGGGGCGGCCCGCG